AATTTTCTTCTATATACAAAAATTAACAAGCATTCTTTACAAGACGAAATTACAACTCACGGAGTTGCTATCAAACAAAAAAATGTTTGCAATTTTGCTATACGGGTTGCATTTTTAGACCAAGTTGGGTATTACAAATACTGGACTTTCATTTTGAACCGATCCAAACCATTTTTTGTAGTGAGTTTCGGTTCGGTTTTGGCAATTCAAAATAAAAATGGTTCGGTTCGAAGCCAGAGAAAAGCGGCGGTTCGGTTCAAAACCGGTTTGCAGCCCTGCTACAAACAAGCTAAATTTAAAAATATTTTGTTATACACAATTTTAAAGGTACATATATACATAAATCTCATTTTCACAACATGTTTGAATTTTAAAATTGGATCAAAAATGAAAGCTCTTAATAGATAAATGCACCAAGTTTTTTTTTTTTTTCTTAATACATAACATAAAAATGGAGGGTTCAGGAACTATAATAAATCTATTTTCATGTTGTACTCGACCCTGCCTACAACCTACACTAACTTGGTTTCGGGTATATTTCGTGATTTTTTTTTTTGTAGCACCGTGCCATTTCCCTATATATCGAGAAGTTATGCACATAAAATTCTCTGCTATGACTCGTTTTCTTTGATAAATATGTGTCTATATATATCATCACGTCACTACAAACGAATAAAGGCGCGCTAGTGTTTTGACGGCGAAAAAAGGCGCAGAAATAGATTTTGCGAAAAAGATGCTTATGAAAAACTTCGGCGAAGTATGTTAAGAGTCTAGGCGCTGAAGTTTTTTATTCGAGGTTTTTCGTCGTCAACTTTTGAGCTCGCGCCTTTATTCGTGTCTAGTGACGAAATACTTTCTTTTAAGAAATAGTCAGCTTTTAAAGTGAAATTTTTTATATTTTCTTAGCTACTTACATATTGCGTTAGCTAAATTTATACTTTTATCCCCACAGACTGCTAAATACCTGCATCGCTTACGTCGTCAAGTTTTCAGTTCGTCCTCATCTTCATCCTCTTCTGCATCGTCCAGCAATGGCGGGCCGGTCTACTTCAGTACTCATAATACAGTATCGCATACACCAGCTGGAACCACAAGGTAAGTGTTAACGGGTTATTTGGAGTTTTAACTAGTTATTTTAAGTATTTAAAGAATTTCATATTCTTCGAATGTGTATTTATCATTTTTTGGTTATATAAAAATTGCCTATGGGGATTTTTATTTGAAGTAGAATTTTGGTTTATTTAGGAACTATGAAAGAGAGACTTGTTGAACTCGTAAAATATTTAAAAAAAAAGTTCAAGTCATTGCTAATGGCTTTTACTAAGAATTCTACAACAAAACTTTATTAATGACTATCCGCCCTAAGTTAGACAGGCACACTAAGCATTTCCTGAAGGAGCATCTAGCCGTAACCAAGGATGTGCAATCACCGAGTAGTTTTTCACCTCGACCGGGTTGTATCTCTAAAAGCCAGCACTCTTTTTTTTTGGTTTAAAGATCCAATTTCTTTAGTCAGTTTTAAAAAGTGTCGATTTTATATTTCTTGCGACTAAGCTTATGTGTGTAAGTGTTCGGCCGAGCTTCTCCTACGATTCGGGGCTGCGCTTTGTTGTTGTAATACAAAGGGGAGGGACCTACAGTTTTACGCCGACTCCGAACGGCGATTGTATTTTTATGAGAAGCTGTTTTTCATGGCAGAAATACACTCGGAGGTTTGCCATTGCCTGCCGAGGGACGAGCGCTGTTAAGAAAAATTCTTTTTTCAAAATTTTTTTTTTGCGATGTTACTTTGACTAGAGCTTGAACCCAGGCCCCGTGGAGTGTATGGAGTATTAAAAATAAATTATCACCACACCAAAAATCGTCAGATGATCAAAATTGTATCGAATTTGTATTGAATCGAATTTTATATTTAATGAACTAATTTATTACCATTTTAATTTTTCCGCAGCTTTTCTCAACGCTTTGGGGATGATGGCTCCTCATATGATTCGGCCCTCAGTTCATCCGGCGTGGGTGGTGGCGCGCACAGCTCATCCGGTGTGGGTGTTGGTTTGAGTGCGGGAACTAGCGCTGGATATGATAACAGTTATGGTAGCAACTATGCTGGCGTTCACTTTCCCACCGGCAGTAATAGCTACGGCGCCAACAATGCTGGTTTTGCTGCAACAACAGGTGGTGGGAACTACAATACCGGCTATAATTCCATACCAGTGGCCAGCAGATTTGGCTCATCGGCTTCGTCAAGTTCATCGGTCTCATCCAATGGCGGCCCGGTTTATTTCAAAACGGAGCAGTCAGTGTCACATACGCCAGCCGCTAATGTTAAGTAAGTATCTATTTTTTATGAAAAAGATTTGTGTAGTGTGTCGTAAAAAAGATAAGCCTAATTGAAATTAATTTCTCTTAGTAAATTTAGCAGCCGCTTTGGAGACGAAGACACACCACAAACAGTCAGCAAAACCGTCTCAACTAGCGGTTATATAGATGAGAAAGGCGTTCACGCTAAAACCACCACCACGAAAAATTAGTTTATTTAAATTCCTAATTGAGCATTTCGCCTTTTATATGTATTTGTAGTAGAGTTTTTTCGCAATAAATATATGGTATTTATTTTCAAACATTTGATTGTGAGTTTTATTTTCATAAGCGTGTTTAAACCTATTCGCTTTGCTTCCATATTTAATTCGAGAAGGCAGAACAGACATAGCCCTTGTTTTTACCGTACTGTCGATGTCGTCGGCATACGCCAGCAATTGCACGCTCTTATAAAGTATTATGCCTGAGCGGTTCAGTTCAGCGGCTGTTATCATCTTCTTCAACATCGGATTAAAGAAATCAGACGAAAGGGAGCCACCTTGTGTGAAACTTCGTTTGGTATCCAACGACTCGGAGAGCTGCTTCTTAATTCCGACGATGCTGGTGGTATTGCTCAACGTAATTTTACCCAGCCGTTTCAGTTTCACAGGGATGTCGCGGCATAAAGACAAATTTCCGTGGTCTAAAGTCATACTGATAAGACCCAATCAATTCGTTGACAGTGGGTATCAGTATCTCACACATTATACTCGATAACACCTTAAATGCGAAGCTTAGTTGGAGGAACGGCAGTATTGCCTTTCTTGTCATAGTATGGCGGTGGGACATCGACTCCGTCTTCATCGACTGGGGTTAGGGTTCATCTCTTCCACTGCTTTCAATTCTACTACTACCATTCAATAAGGCCGAAAAGTGTCTCCTCCATAAGTTAAGTATGTTTTGCATATCGGTCACTAGGTCCCCTCTTCTGCCCCCTACATTGGTCCAACAAGGCTTGCGTCGCCCTGTAGGCGGAATCTCTTCCACAACTTCTTCGGCGGCGGTAAGTAATATGCAGAAATCGTGGTTCCACTGCTTGCATATGTCGGTCTGTTGAATAGGGCTCCTTAGAGCAGGAGTGAGAGTTAAATGGTGAATAAATTAGCCTTCTGTCGTGATAGTAGCTTATCAATGTTGAGCTTTCTTTGCATTTCTGGATGCACTTTTCATAGTGCACAGAGCCCTGCCCGTATATTGGGTGCAAAAAGTCAGTGGTTCGAGTCGATGTTTATCCCTGGGGGTGTACGCACATCTAAAACATTGGAAGCGTACCTTCCGCCTATTACAACATGATCGATTTAGTTTTTGGTTTTTCGATTTGGAGCCAGCTTGATCGATCTTTTTATGCTTGATCCTAGTACTGCGTACTAAAAAGTTTTGGACCTTGGCGAAGTCAATCAGCCTCAGTGTGTTTTCGGGTCTTTCGTCGACGGACGTAGAAGTATAGAAGGTAATGAGTAGGCTGGTGAGCTGGCGAAGGCAGGAGCCGGTTTGGATGAATCCGATATTCCAAAGAGAGATGAATTCGTATTTCCTTGAACTGGCTAGACGCAGGTGGTCAGATATACAGACCTGTACAATATAGAGAAAACTATGGCCAGACTACAACAAGACGAAGACGAAGATCAAGGCCAGAGGTTTTCAGAATTGTAGCATCCATTACGGGGCACTGGCCGATAGGCAAACAAATGCGACAAAAATAGGACTACTTTCGAATACTAGACGTAAAACATTAGGCAGAAACTTGGTAACATCACTAACAGAACTATCAGGAGCTACCATTAGCGAAATCGGTAGATGCATCAGACAAAATGTCCCCCGGGAGAAGTGCTTTAAAGTGGTTTAAAAATACGCTAATTGTGACCTAGACACCACTGCAACCAACCAAACAAATTTGTAGAAGAAAAAAATCATACCGATATTATTGATAATGTGTACTTATTGGAAGGATACGTCTACATACATAAATTTTCAAGATAAAAAGAAGTGTGAAAGGACTGAAGTATTCAGCGAAAGCAACGTACACGAAAATCCTGATGTCGGTGGAAGTAGCGCGTCAGAAGAGAAGTTCCAAATATTGTCGAATATTTAATTAGTATCAGTTTTCGGTGTGTTAATGAGCGAAACACACAACAACCATTTTGAAGACTGCTAGAGCATAATCAAAGACATAAGAGAGAAACTACAACTTTATATTCAAGCATGGTAAAGTATATTGGTATACTTAAATACATACATATCTGTGTTCGTATGGAATAGTAGCTAATGTCGGGCTGGCTGGCTTTAGTATTATTCGGCATTCGCTTTATTCTTTAAACGACAAGAAATTTTTTTATGAATCTTAATAGGAATATTGACTTGCTTGTATCGGAACTATTTCTTGCACCTTTATTTGCCAAAAGTACTTCAACGTCTCGGCGCCAGTGAGTTATTCGATGGAATTTAGACCGCGTGAATTATGGCCGCGTTTTTATTTGTTCGGCGGCCTAATTTCATTTTTTTCGCGGCCTAATTTCACTTGGCAAAATGAGTTAAACCCTCGAGGAATACACGCGGTTTTAATTCACGGAGCCTACTATTGCATACGAACACAGCTATGTATGTATCTAGCTCATTTTGTATATTTCAAACTTTCACAAATTTTACATTGTACTCTGCAGAAGTGAGAAAAATGAATAAGATGCACGCATTATGGCCATAAAAGTGTTCATATTCATCGGTTTAAAACCACCAGCGGTGAGCTAAGGATTGAAAAAAGGAAGTTCTATATGAATTTTGTGTAATCATTTTAAACATAATTACTATTATGACATCTTAAAAAAATTTATCAAGAACAATTTATAAGAATTTACCGTCAAGGGACGTTGACTTCTGCCGATAATTAGTAAAATACATCTACGAAATTCTTTACCGCGATCCATCCAGTTAGTATTGTAGGCGACTTCAGCTACATTTACACTCTTCAAATCGAAAGCACTTGAATACATACATACATACATATGTGATGAAAAATATTAATTTTACCTCATGAGCGAAAATATCGGCCAGCCAATAGGTTAGAAATATTAAAATAGTTAAAATAAGTAAAATTCCGATGCCCTTAATCAAAAGTGGCAAAGTAAATTCCTTGCGGTGGCAAAGGAACATAAAAGAAAAACATTTAATTAATTTAAAAGCAGCTTATCAACTAATTTTGTTGTAGTTTACTCACCATTGACGTATAAACTAACATCATGCAAAGCGTAAGACAGTACAAACTTGCGTCTAGCAAACTCATTAACGAAAAGAAGTCCTCCAAGTCTTCGCGGAATCTTAAAGTACAGTTTATTATGGGTGCATTTTTTCTTGAAAGCGCATTCTGTCTTATCATGCCATACTCACTTGATGATCCGCATATGATAGGCCACGCATAACTTTACACTCTCCAATGCGTCCTTTTCATCCATTAAACATAAATCTGCCAATTTCTGTTGTAGATGTCTAATTGCGAAAATGCCGAAATATATGAAGATTAGCAGAAAACTCACATAAGGAATATATGAGCAGGTTGATACGGGAACAACCCAACACGATTGCAAGAGGTACATTATTTCATATGCAGGGCTCTTATGAAAATCGATGCCTGGTAACTCGACATCGGCCACAAATTCTTTGAAAATATATACATATATACAAGTTTTAGTTTGGCTCATAAAATTCACTATTTTACTTACTGCCATAACCAGTAGCTATTGGTTGAAGCGCAATAAAAAAATTAACAAGTATCACACAACGCATCAAATATTTGGTACAAAAGCGTGCCTTCCAAGTAAGTTCATGCAATTTTTTCAAAGCGTTTTGATCATTTTGATGCTGAAAGTAACATACGCATAATACATATGAATGTCTCTCACTTTATACCAACCAAAAACCAAATTGGCTAATGAAAAATTGCATATTTACCTGTATTTCTTGGTACCAGTACTCAATTACGTTGCATAGGTCCAAGAATTTACGTTGCTTCGTTAAGACCACCATAGCGCGCAATATGGCCGTGAAGCAAACCATGGTGATAAAGAAGCTATATATATCTTCTTCCAAATCATTTTCACTCAAACAAAGCGTGATTCCGATCATCATACATATCACCACCGGCACAGAGATTAAGAGATAGGCCAATCGTCTCTTTTGTTCATCCAAAAAGCCTATGCGTATCCAAATAGCTAAATTCCAACTGAATAATTTTGTGGAGAATTGCATTTTTTCACTTAGCATTGTTTGCAATTTTTTTTACTTTTCTGCGCGGCGTCTGCACAATTTGTGTGTTTCGCAAGTATAGAAGTTGGATATTTGTATGGCTTTGCTAAATAGAAAGAAGTATGTTTTTTTTTTTGTTTTCAAATAATAATAAATGTGCGTGGGAAATACCATATGTTTGATATTTTTTTCGCATTCTTTCTAATTAACAATTTCGAATGCTTATTAATTAGATTTGCAAGTAATTAAAGCCTTTTTATGTTAATTTGAATAATTTCCACGAAAAGTCATTTTGATTTGCAAATGGTTGTGCTTAACGTTGTGCACAGCGGCGCACAGATTTGGTGTGGGTTTTGTGGTTCATCGGAAACAGCGAACGAATTTTCACAATTTAATTTTAATTTAAATGCCACAACATCTATTTACTTTTTGTGCCCAGGGCTGCCAACTTGGCTGAAACCTTGCCATTTTTGGCCCTATTTTATTCGAAATGGCACTTAATTTTTCAATTTGGCACAAAGTGCCAAAATGGCACTTTATTTAAATACATTTTTGTGAAATTCTCTGCGTTTACTTATTTTTCTCAATTAAAATTTTCTAATTTCTATTTCTGGTTTAACTTACTTTGGCATTGGAATTTTATTTTAGGAATGTGTTTCTAATTTTAATGCTAAATGGGAAGAATTAAAAAGAACTGCACCTTTTTTGGCACTTTTATTTTTCTATTTGGCACATTTTGGCACTTTTTTGTCCTCTATATGGCACTTCATAGCTACGTATAGTTGGCAGCCCTGTTTGTGCCCACGCCGCCCAGTGGGAGATCCTCATACATTTCTTGGAAAAAATTAGCAGGAATTGAGGTTGGGTTTCAGTTTTTCATACATACATACGTAACTTTTATGGACAAATAAATCAAGAAAAATACGAAAAATGGATGAGATTGATTTGTTAGAACAATAATATATATATATATATTATTTTTAATTTTTTGAGTCCTTAGAGGCATGTGTCTTTTCTTTAACCCCTGTGCGACACACGTTAATTGACTTCAATTCGGACCAAAATTTGCATGTGATATCTTCAACTAGGGTAGTATCGATTTTGGATATAAGACGAAAAAAAATTAATTTTAATTTTTTGAGTCTCCATAGAGAAACTAGTACTTTGCCCCCTGTGCGACACGTCTCAACCGTGTGCTTATGGATTTGACTTTGCACTTCTCACTGAACAGCCTCCTTTGGGAATCTTATGGTGAATTCGTTGCTACCAAAAAATGTCTCCTTTTGTCTGCCCCTTTCTCTTTTCGACTTCGATTCTAAACCAAAGGCAAAGGCACATTCTCTGCCCTGTGAAACTTTGTCAAGGGAGATGGTTGCTCTGAAAATCAGATGATTATTTAAAATAACAATTTTATCAAATTCGTGAGCTGGACAAGGACAAGAAGGCAAAAACATACCCTTTTACAGGGTTGTGTGTAACATCAAACAGATTTTGCACCGGGGAAGAGCAAAATTTTTCGTAAGAAAAAAAATCACCATTATATTAAGTTCAGACAGAAATTTAATTGAGTCAATTAACTTTTTCATAGAGCTACCACTTCTTGGTGTCCACACACAGTTAGCCGCTCCATTAGCTACGGTTATGGAAAAGTTGGTACAATCGTACCTTTATTTAGTTTGAAATTACATTCGGTACAACCACAGCATTTTAGGTACATTTGGTTAAGTTTTCAGGACAACAGTTTTTATTTTTAGTCACATTTCAACGCATTTTCTGGTGCGGGTGACTTGTCCAATAGCCTCCCACCTTTGTGAAGGGGCATACAAATTATACAAAAGTAACGAAACTGTAGTCGATTACGTCAGATAGACAGAGAATATTTCTTTTTAAAATGTTAGAACGAAGAACTCGAAGGCAAGTGATCGAAAACATAGTTTTGTCTCGAAATGCTCGAAGAAATCATCCAGCTCGAAGAGATTTTTTCATAACCAAATTTGTTTAATATGAGTCCGGAAGTGGAAAGACTATCCTCTTATTTACTATAATATATACATATAAAATTACATATTTACTTTAAAGGTTCATTTATCTACTTTTAGGTAATGCTTTACCGCAAATTAGGTACAAGTTTTGAACTCAATTTTCCATCACTAATGGGATATCAACTGAGAAGGAGGACCAGAAACAAGCAGCTGATTGCTATTTGTTCAATAAATATACCTCAAAGTCATAATTAAATATACCTATCAGGGATGCATTTTGTATGGTAAATCGCTCTAGTTTAGCGCCTAAAGGAAAAGGCTTGGCTAATTGCTCAATTAGCGGCCTGTCTGAACATACTTTTACTCAATTGAGGAACTAATTGTACAATTTTTTAATCTAGCCCTTTAATGGTTGATAAACGGAGCTCAATTAAAATAAGACACATGCTTTAACATAGTGTGAACCTAAAATTAATAAAACATTTTTTGGTTGCAATAAATATACTCTTTAGGTAATGTATGCTTTCGTTTTTGTGTCATACATATGTTATTATAATTAGATTTTTTTAAACGGAAGTTTTTTTTCTTTTTATAATAGTTGATTACTTAATATAACTGTACATTGACCCAGTAATAATCCTAAATATCAATTTTTAGAAATCCTACTATAAAAGTACGTGAATAATACTAACAACAATTATTAAAACCGCTGCGAAGCTACTTATCCCGGCAGCATTACGGCTTTCCAAGTAGTGTAACAATTTTGGTAAACGATCCTCAGCCCACTTTAAGTTCATTTCCACTGTCTTAACGGCATCGAGCAGTTTTGAGACGGAGCCACCAAACAGATCCCCTTTATTTGCAACGAAATCATCCAGCTTTTTCTTCTGCTCCAGTGTGGTAAAATAGTTTGTAATGTCACTGATGACATTTGCAGCATTTGACCAACCTCCAATTCTACAACAATAAAAAGAAGGTGACGTCAGCCCAAATACATATGTACATATGTATGTATGTACTTTGATGATTTTAAAACTAACCTTTCTGCTAATTTTTCTATAGTATTGCTGATCAGCGCGAATACGACATCCACATTTTCTGGATTCTGAGCATACATTGGTGTAATACCCATAACTGCATATTCGCTAGTTAAGTTCCCACTCAGAATCTTGGCGTAATGAAATTCATAGAAGGAACGCGTACATCCCATGGCTCGTATCAGCTTTTGCTTCTCACTGGGCAATTTCTCGTTGTCGAACCAATCGTTCAGTGTTTTATAATAAGACATAGTGCCATCTCGAGCGGCACTGCAGTAGAGGGTTTCACGAAAATCTGGTGTCGGCTTGTTGCCGGCCGTTTTAAATGCGTCAAATACCTGCTGCGCTTGCTTTCCGCAATCGAATAAATGATACATGCACGCCCAGCTGATGACCTTGTTGCGATTGTAAATATCGAGAACGGTGTCATTGGAGCGTCCGAAGCCCAAATGCTTGTACACTTTGGCCATAATGTCACTTAAATAGCTGATCAAGTGTTTGTGCTGCTGCACCGTTAGTCGCTGTGAGACACGCGGCAAATTCGAGAACATCGCATTCCACGGTAAGTATTCGGTCTCATGCGCTAAATATTCCATAAATTCAAACACCCTATCGTAGTCCAGCATAGCGACCCGCGCAAAATTAAATAAATCGTCAACTAGCTGCGCGCGATTAGTGGGCGGTATGCCACTATGTTGCGACGCTAACAAAGCCTTTTGAATTTGCAGTAGTGTCGTGTTGTCGTAGAAAACACGATAATAGTTGGATTGCTGCAAATTAAATATGATCCACTTGTTCGGTTTCTCGGTGTGGAAAGTCATTTCGCTGTTCCTCGATAAGTAAAATCGGGCAGTGAGATCATCGAAATTTGGATCTGTGTCAGAGGCATAGGTGATGGGAATGATGTAGGAGAGCGTGCTGTCACTACCATCACTTGAATCAAGCAAGAATCTGCTTTGAGTAAGTTTAATGGTGTGCTCAGCAGTGACATTTACAAAAAGCACCGGAAACCCGGCCTGCGAGGTCCAATCGTAAAAGAACTGATCCAAATCCACAGCCGGTGTGGAAGGCCAGTAACGTTTTAAATGCTTGAAAAAATCATCCGGAACAGTGTTTTTCAAATGGCTGTGAACGGAAGCAAAAAAAATTATATTTAGTAGACACTTCAAGTTAAAATACAAAAAAGACGAAAGTTAAAGTTGAATATTTCCGAAGAACAATCTTGCAGATCTTAAGTACAGATTTGTATTAGAGAATTGATTTAAAATTTTTTCGAAAGTTTGTTTTTAACCCAAACTACTCTAAAGAATACGTAATAGCCGTTAACAAGAAAGTTTAAATCAATTTTCGACTATTCCAACCATGGAAATGAATTCCCGACGCAAGTACAGCAAAAATTTGACTTTCAAAGAGTTCAAGTCTTCCATTTTTTAAGGTAATTTTAAGGGTAAGGCAATAGAATTACCCAACGAGACTATTTTTCCTGAACTCTCCATCACTTAGGCTCTAAAATACTGTTACATTTATTTCGTTATCTCATTATCGAAATATTTATTAGATTTTGCTACAGAAAAAAAGCTCATTTTGCACACTGTGCATCGGATGCTTAGACAGATGTTCACAAATGAAATACTCATTTGAACTCATTTGTCCAGGATAAGGAACAGGAAAATGGAACCAGTAATTGTTAAGCAAAATAAATTAGTCCTAAGGACTACCCTTAAGGTACCACCTTCCCGACAAAAAAGAGCTATCGAAAACGGTTCACTTGGACTTAGGTAATCCGGTAACA